TGCACAAAGCCGTGCTTCAAAAACGGCCGTTTCGCTTGGGACATCCTCAACAAATCGCGCTCTGGAGGATTCCAGCCTAAGATGATGCCTTATGATGCAGATCAACGTTTCGCTCGAGACATCCTCAGACATTTGGGATCGGGACCTCGATGCCCTCATCTTCGGATTTTCAAAAACGGCAGTTTCGCTAGGGACATCCTTAAAACATTGAATGTTATATATCATTGGTTCGAAGAGCATGTCTGACAGCTCTCGAATGACATCCAAGATAGTCCGACAAGCCAAAATATTGAAACAAATCTTGGTGTTTTAACACGTTTGTTCGAACATAAGCGTTTCGCTCGAGACATCCTGCCAAAATTGCCTCTGGGAACCCTCTCCCAAGAAAGCCAAAGAGGCCCCCATGAAGATTCCACGAAGCCCCCTCCTCCTAACTACTCTTCCGTGTCCTTTTCCGCTTCCGCTTCCTTTTCGTGTTCACTCTCCGCTTCGTGTTCCCCCAAGGCTTTCCAAACCGACTCGGGGAACATGTGAAGCTATCTTTGGGTTCTTTTAGAGGGGGTTCTTCCCCTGGGGCTTCGGCCCGCCCCGCCGGCCACCCGAAATGGCCGTACAAGGCCGCGTAAACCACCTCAACGACAGGAAACAATTCTCCAAGACGGCTCAAGATGGCCTCTAAGATGGTCACATTGGTCCAAGATGGCCTCCAAGATGGCCTCCAAGTCGCCAAAGATGGTCCAAGATGGCCTCCACGACGGCCCGAGAGAGACCAAGATGGCTTCAAGTTCGTCCAAGAAGCCTCCAGGACGACCCAAGATGGCTCCAAGATGGCCTCAGACTGGCCAAGAGGCCCCCAAGAGGCCTCCAAGACGCCCAGGAAGGCCCGAAAGGGCAACACTCATTGATTTTCCTTAGGTTTTTGAAGGATTGTTGCATTTTCTTCTTATCAGCTCTCCGACGGCACAAGACGACCCAAGAGGCCCCCAGCATTGTCCCAAGAGCGCCCAAGAGGCCTCCAAGATGGTCCCATGGCAGCCCAAGAGGCCCCCCAGAGGGCCCCAAGAAGAGCCCAAGACGACCCAAGATGGCCCCGAAGACGCCGAAGATGGCCTCCAAGACGGCCAAGATGGCCTCCAAGATGCCTCCAAGACGGCCAAGGTCTCCAAGACAGCGAAGATGGCCCCACGATGCACCCAAAACGGCCCCAGATGGCCTCAAGATGGTCTTAGACTACCCCAAAGGCCCGCAGGAGCCCTCCCCAAGACGGCCCACAAGACCTCCAAAACGTCCTCCAGGAAGGCCCGAAAGGACGGCCAAGATGACCTTCACGATGCCTCCAAGACGGCCAAGATGGCCTCCAAGACGGCGAAGATGGCCTCAAGATGCACCCAAGACTGCCCAAGATGGCCTCAAGATGGCCTAAGACGGCCAGCAGGCCCAAAGACGCCTCCAAAAGCTCACAAGAACCCCCAAGGGGCCCTCTGGCCTCAACGTTCAACCACATAGGCGCTTCCGAAAGGGCAGAGGGCGGCGGTGACTCGCCGTAGGCGTCTTCGATCCGCCGCCCCCTGTCGATTCATCGCAGGGGTGCCTGGCGTACGGTTTTGGTTTTGGTTCTGTTTCAACAAGAACTCCCCCTGGGGCTCCGGCCCGACCCGCCAGGGTGCCCATCTCGTCGGCGTCGTTGCTCAAGATGGCTCAAAATGGCCTCTAAGATGGACAAGATGGCCTCCAAGACGGCCAGCATGGCCCCAATATGGCTCCAAGACGGCCCAAGATGCACCCAAGACGGGCTAAGATAGCCTCAAGATGGCCCAAGACAGCCCAAGAGGCCCCCGAGAAGCCCCCAAGACTGCCCAAGAGGCGTCCAAGAGGTCCCCCATGAGGGCCCGAAGAGGCCAAAACCGTTGAGTTTCCGTGTGTGTTTGAAGGAGTTTGGCATTTGCTTCTTCTCGGCATCCCAGCGGCGCAAGACGGCCGAAGAGGCCCCCAAGACCGCCCCAAGATCGCCCACGAGGACTCAAAGATGACCCCAAGAGGGCCCAAGAGGCCCCCAAGACGGCCCCAAGAGGGCCCCAAGAGGCATCCAAGACGCCCAAGATGGCCGCCAAGACGGCTAACATGGCCCCAATGTGTCTCCAAGACGGCCCAAGATGCACCCAAAACGGGCTAAGATAGCCTCAAGATGGCCCAAGACAGCCTAAGAGGCCCCCAAGAGGCCCCCAAGACGGCCAAAGAGGCTTCTACGATGCCTCCCAGGAGGGCCCGAATAGGCCAAACGCATTGATGTTCCTTAGGATTTTGAAGGAGCGGGGCATGTACTTCTTCGCGGCATTCCGACGGTTCAAGACGGCCCAAGAGGCCCCAATATCGCCCCAATATCGCCCACGAGGCCTCCAAGATGGCCCCATGATTCATGATGGCCCCAAGAGGGTCCCAAGAGGGCCAAAGGGGCCCCCAAGACGGCCAAGATGGCCTCCAAGACGGCTAACATGGCCGTAAGATGCCGCCAAGACGGCCCAAGATGCACCCAAGACGACCTAAGATGGCCTCAAGATGGCCCAAGACGGCCCAAGAGGCCGCCAAAAGACCTCCAAGACGGCCCAAAAGGCGTCCAAGAGGTCTCCCTGGAGGGCACGACGAGGCCCAAATCATTGAGTTTCCTGTGGTCGTTGAGGGAATGTGGCAGTTGCTTCTTCTCGGCATCCCCACGGCTCAAGACGGCCCATGACGGCCCAAGAGGCCCCCAAGACGGCCCCTAGTGGGCCTCCAGAGGCCTGCAAGATGGCCTCCAAGAAGCCCAAGATGACCTCCAAGACGGCCCCGAAGCGCCCCAAGAGGCCTCCAAGACGCCCAAGACGGCCTGTAAGAACCCCTGATCTGCCCCAAGAGGGTCCCAAGACGACCCAGACAGGCCTCAAAGACGGCTTCCGACGGCGTCAGACAAGCCAGGAACGCCCTCAGACGGCCAAAGAGGCCCACAAGAAGCCCCCAAAGGCTACAAAAAACCTTCCAAGAGGCCCCCAGGAAGCTCCCAGGAGGCCCCAAGAGTGCTCCAAGAGGCCTCCTCCTCCTCCTCCTCCTCCTCTTCCTCCTCCTCCTCCTCCTCCTCTTCTTCCTCCTCCTCCTCCTCCTCCTCCTCCTCCTCCCCCTCCACTTCTTGCTCCCCCATGCGTTCCCCGAAGTCTTTCCAAACCGACGCGGGGAACAACTGGCCCGATAGCTTGGCCAAGCTCTGGCCCAGCTGTCGGCCACAGAGGCGCTTCCAAAGGGGCAGGGGGCGGCGGTGATTCGCGGTAGGCGTCTTCGATCCGCCGCCCCCTGTCGATTCATCGCAAGGGTGCCTGGCGTGCCAGACTATTACGGTTTTGGTTGTGGTTCTTTTTCCCAAAAGAACTCCCCCTGGGGCGTCGGCCCGTCCCGCCGGCTTCCTGCCTCGTCGGCGGTGTCGCTCAATATTGCCCAATATGGCCTCCACGATGCCTCCAAGACGGCCAAGATGGCCTCCGAGACGGCTACGATGGCCTCAAGACGCCTCCAAAACGGCCCAAGATGCATCCAAGACGGCCCAAGACGGCCCAAGACGCCCCCAAGAGGTCCCCCAGGAGGGCCCGAAGAGGCCAAAATCATTGATGTGCCATAGGTGTTTGAAGGATTGTGGCATGTGTTTCTTCTCGGGCCCCAAGAGGCGCCCAAGAGGCTTCCTCTTCCTTCTCCTCCTCCTCCTCCAGCTCCTCCTCATTTTTCCTCATCCTCCCCCATCCCCGAAGTCTTTCCAAACCGACGCGGGGAACAACTGGCCCGATAGCTTGGCCAAACTCTGGCCCAGCTGTCGGCCACAGAGGCGCATCCAAAGGGGCAGGGGGCGGCGGTGATTCGCCGTAGGCGTCTTCGACAACGCAAACGTTTCAATATGCGCTGATGATTCCTGTCCGCCCCCGCATGATGTTCCCAGATGCGCCAAGGCAGCGCCGAGACGCACCGACGCGACTCTGATAGTTCCCTTTCTATTATACATGGGGCTGGCGGCAGGGGGCGAAGCCCTTCCGGCTATTGATCAGGGCAAACTGCACAAAAGCGATGAAGAACAAGTACGCAAAACTCCCACCTCTGCCCACCTCTTGGATCACACCATAAGCAAGGCTCCAATCATCGCCACCTGTGGATGCCCTATAAAGCGTCAGGGCCGATTCTTCGACTGACCCGTAGAAGCCAGCGAATATGCTCTCCTCTAAAGCTTCACCTGTTTCCTCGAGGTGATTTGTGATTATCTGAACAAAGAAGAGCGAGAAGAATAGGTATACGATGGCAAGCATCACCAAGCTCCAGGTAAGGCTCACCAACGAGCCATAGAGACAAATCATGAGAGCCCGCAGGTGCCGCAGGCGGCGCATGACCCTGATGGCACGAAACGACTTCGCGAACTTCAACAAACGAAGCGTTCTCCAGAAGCCGTCAGAATCACTCATCGTGATATATCCTACAACCACCAAAGCAAAATCAAACGTATTGGAGCCAGCTGACTTGTTCCAGAAGAACCATCCACGATGCACTATCAGCCTCAATGCCACATCGAGGGTGTAGAATGCCTGAAAGATCACTTGTGCGATTCTCACTACCATGCTCTTCTTCCCTGGTTGCTGCGCCTCCAGGTTCGTAGCGTATACCTCAAACCCAACGTTGACGATGATCACAATGCAAACAAACATGTCATATGCCTTGCTGTTGACGAGGCTGGCGAGAAATCCCTGGCGGGGAGGCTCTTGGAGGCCATGCAGCCACTTCCACAGGCTGCTCAACTTGCGCACTGAGGCATGACTAGCGCTTGGTTCCTTTCCCTCGTTACTGTTAGAATCAACTAAGTGCCGCTCAACACTGGCAATCTCAACGACCTGGGCGAAATGCTCGGACGCAACGGTATTGGCTCGTTTGACGGCAGCGTGGCTGCCACAGATGGATTCCCGAACATGGTTCGGTGAAAGGCTACCAAAACTTTCCGCCGCCGGCGTGTCGACACCCTCCACATGCGTTTGCTCCAGACCACGTGTGACAGTCCCGCTCAGCCTGACTACCTACCAAAGCACCCCAACCCAACCCGAAAATCCGAATCTCGGGTTTGGGGGGGTACGGGGTCTAATATCTGCCTTCTAAATGTTCCCCGACACCCCCTTCACTGGAACGGGAGGACAAATTGAAGCCTTCGGGTTGGGGTGGGGTGGTTTGGTGGGTGGTGACAGCCGGCGCCCGCACGGCGAGCAGCCGCAGCTGCCCAACGCGGCCTCTGCCTCGCTCCGCAAGGCCCCGCGCAAGGGCCCGCCCTCAGCGAGTAGCTCGCCCAGCTCCTCGCGCACCGCGGCGCGCACCACGCCGCCCAGCTCCGCGGCGAGCGCGCTCTTCGCCCGCGGGGAGTCGCCGGGCGGCGGCGGCGCTTCGGGTGGCGTCGCCCGCGGGGTGCCGTCTGCCGGCGGGGACGCCGACTGGGGCCGCGCGTCCTGCAGGTGCGTCTCTCGCTTGCCGGGTTCAGTCGTCACGGGCACGGCGGCCTCGGGGGCGGCCTGCCGGATCTCCAGCACGGAGCCCTGCAGCTGCTGCATCTGCAGCTGCTGCGTCTGCTGCAACTCCGCCTGCAACCGCTGCGTCCGCCCGATCTCAACCACGGGGCCCTCAAGGGCCTCGATCTTCTTGCCGGCCTCCTTGATTGCGGCCATCTGGTCCGCGAGGTGTTCCGTGATCATCGCTTTTAGCGCCTCGGCCCACCAGGCCCTTTCGAACTGCAGCTCCTCCGCCGCGGCTGACGACGATGATTCCCGTGTGGGCCACCGCTGCTCGCGAGGGGCTCGTCCAGAGGTCTGGTGGTCCATGGCGACGCTGTCGCTCGGGGGCGCGGACAT